TGCAACAGAGTATCAGACTGCCGTATCCGTAGAAAAACAAAAGATGGACTTCTACAACGCCGGGTCACAAACTTCCCGCGCTTGCCGTAATCTGTTGTCTGTCTGTGTCGTCCGAAGAAAGCATGGAGGGAAAGGGCGCAAGAGCCAAGGAGAGCATTGCGAGCGTGTGGAGGCGTCGCGTCACCGCGCTCTCATTGGTGGGAAGCAATGGCGCCTTGCGTCATGTTTTTTTGTTTCTCGTTGTATTTTGTGTCTTTGTTTTTGCTATGCTTGTTCGCCCGGAGTTTAGACGCGGGGGCGATGGCTTGCTTGTCTTCTCTTTAATTATGGTACAAACCAACGGCAGTCTCTTCGCTGCGTGAAACGAATTACTGAAATACCTGATATTTTCCCTTGAACCGAAAACCGATAAGAAAATTTTTCGGTTTCACTCCGGAACAAAATAATAAATAACGTTTCGATTACGTTTCCGTTCCGCCAAAAAATATCTTTTTTTTCGTTTTTCGTTTTTGGTTTTCGTTTTGTTCCGATACCTTGCTAAAGAGCATGGGAAAGTAAAAGCTCTTTGAGTGAACCGACGATACGTGCCCCAGAACAGCAGAGCGACGTGCATGAAAAAAGTTTAAAGGAACGCGGCAAGCCCGGTTCAATAGTTTTCCATGTTTAAAAAATAACAGGCTTATTCAGCTCTTTGCGCACCTCGTGTGTTTGTTTACCCCTCAGACGCTCTGATGTACCGCTATTTACACCTCGTTTTGACCAATGACGGCGCGCGCTTTTCTGTCTCGTCTTCGCGCGTTCTGTGCGCGCCCTTTATGCTTCCCGCTGATTGTTGTGATATTCTTCGTATTTACTTCTTTTCAATGGGTCACGATAACGTTGGTACGTGTTGGTACCCCTACTTGCACGTCGTATAAACACTTCGAATTTGACATCGACCTCGACCGCGCACCTTGTTTTTCATTGGTAGCCTGCTTGCTACAGAAGGATGACGGTGACGACAACGTAATCGCGGTTTGCTTGTGGTCCTGTGTGATGGACTCTCACTTCCGATCGAAGTGAGAGCCATTCGTATCGCTCCGACGCTGTTGAAAAAACTCAGCAGACCTTTGAATGAGTCACTTGCTCAGGAAAATAACGAGGAGACGAATGTCTAAGCGCTTATGTAAGAAGAGTGGTCTCGATTTCAAATGAAAAGCACTCCAGCAAAATGTGGCCGATATGGTTCGTATGCAAAACTAGCTAGCATAAAAAAATAGATAAATTCATAAATGGGGACGGACTATCTGCCTCCCCCCTTGGAAAAGATTTATGTCATTTTATCAAGAATCTTTGAACACTCGTACTCCGCCTTCGCGTTCGAAGCGCTGTTCACGGAGTAAGGCTAGGCTGCTTAGTGGATTGAGTTTCGCCACGTGTTCGTCGCATATTTTTTGATGGGGTCCGGCTTTTACAGACAAGTATCGTGCCAGTAGCTGACTTTTGCTCAAATAAACAGAAACAAAAACCTCTTTAGTCAATATTCACGTTCAACGGAGATCGAAGAACTCTGTTCGTATTCCTAGAATTCAAGAACTCAGGCATATGCACGACTGTGATGAAACCTATTATCGGCAACAGCAAGCGAAGCCCCCCACCTAAACGCCTGAGAGCACGTAAAATTCTCTCCGCCTGTTATTGCAACGGACAGGTCCGCGCGCTTGTTAGGAAACGTGGGCGACAAACCGTGAGGCCAATCGGCTGCTTCCTCACATTTTTAAAATTATCATAATTCTCTGGCATATGGATAAAGCCCGTAAACTTTCGTGATTTTTCTAGAATAGAGTCAAGCCTTCCCGAGATCTTAGATGCTAAATAGCGTTTGAAACAAATCCGGAAGCGGCCGAAACAGATCAAATCCGGCGCACGCTTTTTCGTGTGGACGGATAAAAACGAGCGTATACCGCATATTACCAGCATCAGAACATCTGTAAGCATTATTAAGCGAGAGCGAGAAAACAAACATTGTATACTCGGTTAGGGTCACACCAGTACTCGCGTAAAAGCTCCGGGAAGACGGTTTTATTTGTGTTTCCTTGAGGGGTGCGCGCACACACGCGCTTACAAAAGACAAAAACATGGGCGCACGGACGCACGCAGATGCAATCAACGCGAATCAACGACACCTTCCCCGGCCCCCCACACACAATGACACACACAGACACACACACCGAAAGGAGGAGCCGCCAAGCCGCGCCGCGTAAACGGAACCCCACGGCCATGCAGGAGGCTCAAACGTCTGCCGCGCACAGACAAAGCCCCCCTAACGTTCGCTAAGCTGCACATGTACTACGCGACGCGGGTACGCACGCCCGCAGTATCGGGGCAGAGGAGCGGAGGCCCGCCAAACTCGTTGGAGTCGCCGCTGAGTCTGTGCCGGTCCAAACATCCCCCCCCCCCCCCTCCCCCCAAATCCCCATCTGGGAAGCGCTGGTGCCGCTTCGTCTGCAATACACAGTCCCCTCCCCATTTCCGATTTCGCGCTTAAGCCGCGCACAGTCGCACACGCAAAATGTCACATCCTCTCTCAAAGTCCTCCAAAGCAAACGCCCCTGCAGTTGCTTCCCCCAAACGTTACCAGACCACCCCTACGAATCTCGTTCTGGCCTCTAACAGAAGTTCCTTCCAAGTTTCTGCTCCGTCTACACTCTATACTAACCGCCACAGCATGTTTGTGCGTGTAAGGGCACCAACATGCTGCAGACACTACCAAATGTCAAGTCGGCTATCAGTCGCCAAGAGTACGCACACGCAAGCAAATCCATACCAACATCTCCTGAGTCCTGACTCCTAGTTCACGAACTCAGTCCCCATCACATCACAAATTCAGTTCACGAATTCATTCACCATCACATCACGTATACACCAGAGTCACGAAGTCCTTCACCACTGCATCACGGGTGCGTCAGAGTTCACGAGGTCACTCCCCGTCACATCGCGGCTCCTTCCGAGTTCATGAAGTCATTCCCCTTCGCATCACGACTCGTTCCGCGTTCACGAAGTCACATCCACTTCACATCACGGCTTCTTCCGAGTTCACGGAGTCACGCCCATTCACATCACGACTCCTTCCGCATTCACGAAGTCACATCCCCTTCACATCACGACTTGGTCCGAGTTCACGAAGTCATTTACAGCCCTTCACCATGACGCGGTGAGCGTGAGTGAGTGTGAGTGAGCGAGTTCGTGAGTGACTTCGCCGAGGTATGTCGGCGACTTCCTTTGCCCGCTCTGGACTGCGCTCTCGGGATGGTGTCGACAGGGTGAGCCTTTCATCTGACCTTGTCGGCGCGGGGGTTTGGGGGACAGTGTGTCTTTTGGTGTTCCAATAAACACCGTTGGACACCCTGCTGGAAATGGGCGATGTGAAATGAGGCCAAAATTCACATTGAACCAATGTGCAACTGTAGGTCCAGACACATTGAGCAATATGCATTTATGAAACAAAAACCTATGTGCACCAATTGGTAATCCTTTAGGGAATTCACATTGAGCTGAATTGGTAATCCTTTAGGGAATTCACATTGGGCTGATTGCATTTATGAAACAAAAACCAATGAGCAGCAATTGGCAACAGGTACACCAGTGCACATTGCATTGAGGGTATTTATGGGGCAAAAACCAATGAGCAGCAATTGGCAACAGGTGCTCCTGTGCACATTGGGTTGATGGTATTTATGGGGCAAAAACTAATGAGCGGCTATTGGCAACAGGCCCCCCTGTGCACATTGGATTGATGGTATTTATGGGGCGAAAACCAATAAGCGGCAATTGACGACAGGCACCCCTGTGCACATTGGGTTGATGGCGTTTAGGGAGCAAAAACCAATGAGCGGTAATTGACAACAGGTGCCCCGGTGCACATTGGTTTCATGGTACCCAGTCAATCAGCAACCGTCTATTAAACATCCGAGAGATGTGTCGTTCGGACATTTAACATATCCAGTGGATATCTGCTACGATTCATCCAACATTGAAAGTATCTACTGTGTAGTGCAAAATGGTTCCCCAGAAAACGTACCACTAACGCAATCTGGTTGATGCAGCTGGACATTCAGGACCATTGTAGGATGTTCAGCCCGATCCTGTGGATGTACCATGTACATACCTCAGAAATATTACCTTTCCTGGTATAGAGACCAGCCCTATGCAAGGAAGTGTCTAAGCAGCCTTCATTTTATGCTAGCATATAGCGTGTAAACTGTCCTACAGAAAAATTTAAACGGATAAGAGTCCAATTCTTTACAAAACAAGAGCTCAGAGGGCAGATTTGCTGTATGGCCCGTGCATGCTCTCAATGTATACCCAAATGGCGCATTACAGATGTATAATGTAGCAATCAGGCCCGCAGCAGACATTCTTTATATTGAAGTTTTTTTTTCACCATCAAGCTCAGAAGCTTTACCACAGGATCAATGCAGATGACACTGACAAGGAAGGCGACACTACTGATGCTGACTCGTTTTAGTGAGGTGGACCTCGCCACATGCGAGAGAACTGAAATACTGGACACAAACATTGTCATAAGCTATGACGAACGGCCCTGAGGAATTGACTACTGAAGTCTAAGGCTTCAGTAGTCATATGCTCTAGTGACGAGGACACCAGAATTCAATGAGAGCTGTAGCACCGACTGCATGGCAAAAGATGCCGCTGCAGTCTTGCAGCGTAACTTTGAACGTGAGTAGCGCACTAAATTCCTGCCCAGCCTGTCAGGCATGCACATCCGTTCTGTAGAAAAAGTTGCAGTGCCAAACAAATCGCCATTAACTCTTTATTGTTACTGCTAGACAGACGAGCAGTGCTTGATGCTTTTAAAATAAAGTATAATTTTTGAACAATGCTGCATAGACAGCATGAGGTTTTCAAAATAAAGTATACTTACTGAACAATGCAGGATACTTTGCTTAAAAAAAATGTCTGATAAACATAATAAAAAGCTCAGCACATTCAAGGCCCACTTAAGGCAGTTCACATCTCTCTCTCCTGTGGTGCAGAATGTTCCTGAAAAGCAACGAAAAAATGTTACGTTAAAGATATGTGAGCAGTGGTTTACCATTCTTTGAAACAAAACTAATAAAACAATGAAGTTCAAAGTGAAGTGACTCAAATATGCAAAAATTGGAGCTGATGTAAATAAATCACAAGTATTTTATGCCTTGTTTTTAAAGCACATTCATGCTGGATGTGTGTACTGTATTGCCAACTTTTGTTTGTTAGATTTACATCAAATATCAGTGTTCTTAAAATTCGTTGTCTATGCATTCTTTTTAATCCATAATAAGGTACTATTGCATAATGAAATTTTTCCTCTTAGAGAAACACTCCAAACAAAATTTTTTTTATTTAAAATTATTCAATACTGTTCACACCTGTAGTATTTGCTCTCAAATTAAACCAAAAAAGGTGTCACTGGCTTGAATATTTAAAGCATTCAAATACTCTCATATAGAAATTATGCTTTGAAGAAATTGCACACCATACTTACTGTTCTAGAAAAGTTTGATTTTTGTGCTAACATCAGCTTAATAAGACCAGCTTACCATTTGAGATGACTGATGTCAGGCAGGTGCGTGGCGAAGTTAATCCGTGACCATGGTTTCTACCTTGAAGTCTTCACATTTATGGCAGCTCTGCACTGCATCTGATAAAAGAAAGCAACAGAAGTATGACACCAACAATTCCATAAATCTGGTTCCACGTGAAGCGATCTGCACTACTGTTCCAGAGATTACTTACTTATGATGCACTCAGCAAGGTGAAGGTTCCTGAATGTCAACTTTCTCTTACGTCCTTCCCACAAAAATTTTCGCCCCAACTGGTCAGTCAGCAACCGCTTCGTGATCTGTCTCGTACAGGAAGCATAACCAGATCCGCAGACTTTGCTGAGCTGTCGAACATAAAAAAACATCCACATAGCAACCGCTTAGTGCAATCATAACTATTGATTGGATGTTTCTGTTTATTTTTAGTCAACCTTGGCAGGTGTTTATCGGCATCCATTTCTTCATTAAATGTGCTGCAAAAATATTCCAAAAGCCGGGAATCATAATGATAAAAAAAACTGCACCGACTTTACTCAACAAGATTAACAATTTAATCAAACGTTTCGTCTCCCATGTGGGAAACATCGTCGATGAAACCTTGAAGCAGGAATGAGCGAAAGAAACTTCAACAGTCCTATTTAAGCAAGTCCACATACACATTGAGGAGGGGGCCGCAGCTGGAGTTACAAGCTGATGAGTCATTTCGGATGAACCATGATTCTACGAACCTGCTTGGATCCAACCTTTGTTCACGCGCCAGAGTGGACGCATTCTCAAAGTCGAAACTGTGTCCTGTATTCCAACAATGGTCAACGAGTTCCGTCTTCGCTCTTGTCGCATGCGTGGCCTTTGCCATGTCCCTTTTGTGACTTTCATTTAGCTTTAAACAGCATTGAATCATCAATCCAATTCACACATGAGGTTGAACAGAACGGTGCAAAGCCTTTTCTGTATGTTAATGTGTTCCGAAATAGTACCGGTCGCTTATATACAACAGTGTACCGCAAAGCTGTGATACAGGCAACCTCTTAACCTATAACTCGCATCATTCCGTCGAACATAAAAGGGCTGTCGTAAAAAACCTACTACACCGGTCCGAACGCATTTCTTCTAGTCCTCAATTGCACGCTTCTGAGAAAAAAGTCAAATTTGGGGGATTTACGTGCTAAACCAACGACGGGCATCTGGCACGCCCCAGCGGAGGACTGAGGATTAATTTAGACTACCTGGGGATCTTTTGACGTGCAACCGAAAGCTCGGTTACACGGCGCCTGCTCCGCAATAAGCCTCCGCCACATGGGGATCCGTAGGCCAGCGCTCTTGCCTCGGAGCCACCGAGGCGGCTTGCGCGCTTCTGAGGATGCTGTTATTGTTGACCTGCTGATGAAGCGGAATTATCCGAAACGTTTTATTTATAACACGCACAAACAGATGGGACAAAGAAGTCAGGATAATGGACAACTTAGGACAGGGCAAGCAACAATACCCTATTTGAGAGGTGCTTTTGAGTCCATTCGCAGGGCCCTCGCCCCTTTGAATATCCGCACAGCTTTCAAACCCCACCATAAACTATGTGACTTCATTTCTAAACCTAAAGATTACACCCCCCCAGAATCCCAGTGCAGTGTTGTCTATAAAGTGAACTGTCTAGACTGTGACACATCCTACATTGGGGAGACAGGCTGGAAGCCCTGCACTCGCCTAAACAAACACAGCGAAGACGGAACTCGTAGACCATTGTTGGAATACGGGTCACAGTTTCGACTTTGAGAATGTGTCCACTCTGGCGTGTGAACAAAGGTGGGGTCCACGAAGGTTGGTGGAATCATGGTTCATCTGAAGTGACTCATCAGCTTGCAACTCCAACCGCGGCCCCCTCCCCCGATGTTTATGCGGTCTTGCTTAAATAAGATTGTTGAAGTTTTTTCGCTCATTCCTGCTTGAAGGTTTCACTGATGATGTTCCCCACATGGGAGACGAAACGCTTGATTAAATTGTTAATCTTGTTGAGTAAAGTCGGCGCAGTTTTTTTATCATTAAATTTGCTACTAATATTTATACCTGCTCTAATTGAGGCACTTCCGACATTTAAACTGAGGAATTTTGACGTCTTTATCTCAATATGGCGATTGGATTAAAGATTATACCACTGGGCACGGGCTTGGGCTTACCCGAAAGCCCAGGCCTGGGATGGGCTCGGACTTTTGACTGTGGGCCCGGACCGGGCTCGGGCCGGCACGTTGATTGGCCTGGTTCGGGCCAGCACATTGATTGGCTTGGTTCGGGCTCGGGCCAGCTGTAATTGACCATGATGCTGACAGAGGCCATCATAGAAATCGGCGTCTCGGTTATCTCAGCAACATCAACTCCAGAACCACTAGACAAGTACCCATGAACGTAGGCCCACCTTAAGACAGTGGACGGCAGCGTCGTTAATCATGAGGTGAGCTTCAGGTTAATCCCAGTGGCGTGATGTTTTCGCTTGTGGTGATAAATAGCGGCAAACCAAAAATAAACGGACATTGAAGCGCTCTGTCAGGAATTAAAAATGGGGGACTGAAATACATTAACGCTAAACAATCTCAACCTAATTGATCATGAGAAACACTTACCTCTCTCGAATAATAGCTGGGAAGCGCTAACATAGCGGCAATGATGTAGTGGGGAAGCTTACAGGCCTAGTAAACAATTATACACATACTGGGGAATGCCTGGCACATATTCAGGTATGAATACATGCTCAGATCTACAAAATATTTTAGGAAAAGATACAAACTGCAAATTAGTAGTCTTTCTTAGAAAACACAATGACGTATCTTAATCACAGTGCTAAAACCCGTAAAAACTCTTGATTTCAATTATTTTAATAAAAAAATGTTCTGAATATGTACATGACACCAGCAGTCATAACTTTGATTTAGTTCATCACAAGCTATATTTCTCTGGCAGCAAACGAAGACAAACCTTTTAACTGTGCAGTGAACCAGAATTAATACAATACGACGAAGTTTACGTATACCACTTTAAAATAACCAGAAACAACGCTTTTCAAATCAGTATGTTTTGCTATAAAAGGCTTATTATAAAGCCATAGTCCTTACAGTATATTATAAAGCTTTTAGTCTTGCTGCATCCAGTTGTGGCTTTGCTTAGCCTTTGTGCGGTTTGAAGGTCTGCCGGTTACAATTCGCCAAGGAGGCCATCTGTGGCGGAGATAATTACCAAACCTTACCGGATGAACATTGATTCCCTCTTCTATTTGAGAACTTTCGTGTGTGAAGCCTTGTTGAGCCACATGCCATTGCCAATGCACACATAGAAGACATAAACTTCAGTTCATCTTTGAAGCAGCACTATGTACAGGAAATTTACCAGTGCAATATTCGTGACTCCAGCGAAATCGACGCCGCGTAGCGGCAGCGCCGAGAAGCTCAGGAGAGGAGGTTGTCCCGACTCTCTCGTCTGCTATCGCTGCTTGGTTCTCGTAGGCAGCATAGAAACAAACATTATTTCCAGTAAATATTTTAATGATTCCACCGGGTCCTTCCTACGCACTGAGTAGACAAACGTTTCTAGGGTCGAAAAATCGCTTTGCATTCAAATGTAACACCGATTTTACGCTGCAGTGCAGGAATTTGTGATGGTCCGCATGCTGAACAACGAAAACGACCTTCTTTCGTCCGAATTTTGCCTGAGCATCGCGCCATCTATAGTTCGCTGGAGTCGCGAATAACCTGGACTGGGATTGAAAACAGGGGTCCTATTTGTCAACGGCATGCCTCAAAATTAATTTTGTTGATGAAAAAAAAAATTGTAGCAATATTTACGCGGCAAAACGCAATTCGAGTTTGGCACAAAACCGAACCGGTGTAACTAGCAGGTATCCTTACTGTCAGAGTTAACGATTTGAATGATTCGACGTGATCCCTCACCCTCCTCCTCTTCTTCCTCTCCTCTCTCTCCCCCAACGAACTAACAAACAAACGAACACGCACGCACGCACGCACACACACACACACACACACATACCTCTTCTCCAAATAGACACAGACTGCGCCACGCCTTGACAGATATAATTCATTCTAACCTTAAGCCTATTAGCACAGAAAAATGTTAAAACATAACCTTTACCTAGTTTCTGGGCATATGAAAACAAACACACGGCACCCCTATCAATGAAATTCCTTGTACTTGTGGCGGCATAGCTAAAGAAAATCTCAAATTTAAAATACGTCTTATGAATTGCTTCGCAAGCGCGAAAATGAAATTACAATTACCTGTCTCATACAAGCTTCCTCCAGCCCTCCCGGGCAGTCACTCATCTCGTCAGAGGTACTAGCACCCGCTTACTGTCACTGGGTTTCCGCGTCACTCTGCGATCCTGAAACAACCGGCGCCGAGAGTTACTCCCACATATTGTGCTTAAAGCTGCAATTTTTAACTTAAAGGAGATGGTCACTAGACTGGGCACAACGCGTGTGGAGACTAGAACTTACCAAACAACTTTAGGATCCGCGCCTTAAAGAAGTCCGATTCCGTTTCGTCACAAGGCTTGACGGGCAGAAATTTGAGATGATATGTGGCTCATGGTCGTCCTCAAGACGTACGCTTGCATAATCGTTCGTAAAATTCCGGCCGCTCAACTGGTCTCGACTCTGCAACGTGCTTCAAGCGGTTAGACTTCCCGCGAACGTTGCTTCGGCAGCTTCGGTTCTTCTTCCACGCTTCCTTGTCCTCCGGCCGGACCTTTCGGTTTTTCACGTCGGACCACTTCCTGACGCAGGGGATGTATCACGTGACTACAATACTTCGTATTTTAACCCTTTTAACCGTTTTAACTCTTGTTTTTGTTTGCTGAAGTAAACGAATACTTAAAAAATTTACTTATTCACCTTAATTTAGCAAAAAATTTGCATAAATTGCACTTTGAAAACTTATTTTGGTTTTATATGTCATGCGGGCATGCGGGTGACCCCACTGTTCACTCTATTGACTCCAGCTAACTCTATATTGTCACGTGGTGTAACCCGCAGCCCGCAAGTGTGACTGATGCACTTAAGAAAATAATAAACGTTTCTAAAACTTATGGTATTACTTAATTGTCAAATCTATATACTGAATATATATTAAACTTATAACGGAGTAATTTTTATTTGTCATTTTAATTAGAAAATTGCATTTGCTGCGGGACGACGTCAGTGAGAATTTTAAAATTTGGTTTTGAAACACGTAGGGTGTCGCGCTGTGCGACCATGAACCCAAACAAAAAAATATACTTGGAGCCACTAAGTATACCCAGCTTGCCAAGGACAACAGTCCTGAGACGAAGTTGTGTCCTGAAAAATGCTACAACAGGCCAGGGACCAGAACCGACGTCGCCGACAGCAGTTTCTGTAAGCTCGGTTGTCTCGGAACACGGTGAGACAAAAACTCCCCGTGAACTAAGTAGTACCAATGAAACCAGAAGCGCTCACAGTACTGGGCCAGTCAGTGAAGACACAAGTGATAAAATTGTGAAAGTGACGGGAGATTTGAAGACCAATTTCCTCTCCAGGTTTCCGAAAAGGCTACTGCCAAAGACGAATGTAACGAGTCTGACGTACCCTGTTTCGGCTGGCCTTCATTTTAATTGGACGCAAAATGAAGGGCTTTTGAATCTCGAAAACTTCATTGCTGGAGTGTACACTCTTCCCGGCATCAAGGAAAACTACAACATTGGGAAGCCAGAAGCCAAACTAAAGGCCCAAACTGCCAACAAGCGCGTAAAATGCCTTTCAAAAAGGAACTTCCTTGCTCAACTACAAAGTGGAAAGCGCTGCCTGACACTTATTGTGCGTGAAACAAGGTGCAATCATAATTTCGGGAAGGTCATCCTTATTTCGTGTGTGTGTGTGTGTGCGCGCGCATTTTATGTGCTTTTTTTTAATGACTTCTATGGTGTTAATAATTATTGGATGTTATTCGGCACTACCGGCTTTTCTTTTCTGTTAATAGAAAGCATGCCCACGATAGAATGTGCACGTGATCTGCCGCCCCAGAACGAGCGCGTAGCCTCTGCTAGGGCTCAAACAGGATACGTTCACATGGCAAAATGGAAGCCTGAAGTATCGCTTTTTTTCGCCAACTCCGCCAAAGTTTTAAAGTCCCGACGTCGGAAGTCGGAGAGCTTTGGACCAATCGTGAAAGATGATAATAGGATTTTTGAGTCAGTGGTATTCTGTTTTTGACCCGGTTTTACTCTGATTTGCTCGGTTCTGGAGCGAAATTTATACAAAAACGAGAACGTTCCACTCCGGAACCAGGTGGAACTGAATAAAACTGAGCAAAGTCTAATGTGAATACATAATCCAGTTGGTGCAATCGTTTACGCTATTACTGTTACTGAGACATCCTGGAAGACAAAAGGACAGAATACACCGCTAAAACTGCAGAGTTCCGATGATACCTGAATTTCGTGGCTTGCCTATATATAATTATTCATGAATGTTGTGCATACTATGTGCACACACAATGTTCCCATTCCTCATAGTCTTTTCTTTATGTTTTACTGGCAGCCGCATGTTTTATAATACGAAGGAGGACAGTACGTAATCAGGAAATTCTAAAACACGTGACAAAAAAGAGTTCATACTCACTCTTTAACTGAATGTTTTATTTAATTTGTGTCTACATGGCCCAACCCAAAATGTTTATTTGACAGAGAGGAACCCATCGGGCACGCACGTATCCGCACGGGCGGGGGGGGGGGGGGAACCATGGGACCCCCCCCTCCCAAACCTTTCATTTGGTGGGGACTCCTTTCCCTCCTCCCCCTCATACAGCATTTTGTCATGGGCGAATCAAAATCCTGGCTGCGTGCCTGCCATCGGGTATATTTGAGGCAAAAATTATTTTCTTGTGCTCAAAACATAAAACTTTAGTATATAACAACTCTAATTTCTCCACTAAGCATACTGTTTAACCTGATAGATGCCCACTTAATAGATTTTATGTTCTGTATTCCCAGTCGACCACTAAAAGTTCTCGATCCGAAATGCATTCCATTTCACCAATGAAGCTTTCAGTTTAACCAGTACAACTTGTTATTGATCCTATTGAAGGACCAATAGGCACTTGTATTCCGGACCAGAAAACATTCGTGTTGTTCCCATAGAAGTTTCTACTTGTCCCATAGAAGTTCCTGCTTGTCCCACAGAAGTTCCTAATGGTACAAGAGAAGTCTGTATTGGTACGATATAACTTGTTATCGGCCCAGTAGAAATGCCCATCGGTACGATGAAATCCTATTGATCGCATAAAAATCTATATCGGTCCCATAGAAAATTTTTGCAAGGGTGTGCTAATTTGGCGATTGAGCATTGTCACTGCCATACTGCACCGAGTTCACTTCTCTGCAGTGCAGGGCTCTTTGCTATCTCCCGTACAATGGCTCTGCCACATAGCGCCACTGGCTGCAATGAGCAGTAATGAGCAAACTGAGTGTCGTGCACATTGACACAATTGGCACCATGGCGCTTGCCCCTAAAGTTGACTTTCCCTCAACCGATTCTTTGGCCTTCCCCCGTGCTGCGGCTTCTCTGCAGCATTTCCAGTTGCACCAATGTGCAAAACATCGGATTTTCTCATCGGCGCCAATTGCACATTCATGCTCATAGGCTTTGGCTATGCATTTCAATTGGAACAGGCCTGTCATTTCCAGCAGGGCAATGTCCTATTGTGGTACATGCTCCTCCTTTTTAGAGAAGCGATCAGTTGTGTGGCTGACGTTCGGACCCGCCCGTAGCGGTGTTCTCGAGAGAAAGCTGCGGTGTGTGGGAGTAGGCTTGGCGTCTCCCAATTAGAGACCGCCGCTGAACCCTTCGGTTATCACCACCCGTGACCATCCTACAAGGTTCATTTGCATGTCCAAAGTACAGACCGTACAATACATATGTTTTTTTTTGTATATTTCTTCTTGTTTATATAACCGGTTTGGTGGTCGCCTATGATTGTGGTTATCCTATCTTGAACGCGACCAGCAAGCTGCGGGCAAATAATTTATTCTCGCCATTGAGAATGCTGATTAGATTCTTGCTTTCAACTTGACGTTTGTTACGGTATTTTTACTTTTAGATTAGTATCAAGTATGATCTCTAAAATGAGGGTGTTAGGAAAATTTTGCATGATTCATTAAACACAGTAATAATATGTGCAAGTCCTTTTTTCTTCACATCCTCTGAAAAAATGCTGTCAGTCTGTCTGATAGTGAGGGTTCAGGCGTTTTATTTCAACGTTATTTGACTCAATTTCTTCAGAACTAAGAGCTTCGTTGCGTTTGCTTGCCTCAGTATTAAGAATACCTTTGTTTTATCATTTAGTTTTCTCTATGATGCGTCGAGCGTTTTGATTGTGGAAACAGTTATGTTTTATTTATTTATTTAAAACATTACTAAAGGGAAGAAGTACATAAAACAAAAATTGTATTTACTAACACACATATAAGCATGACAGCAATACAAACGCTTTATAAACTACTATAAAGATACATAAGAAAAATATAGGTAAAATACGCACGAGAAGACAAGAAAAAACTAGATGTTATAACAGCACATAAGTTAAAGAAAGTGTGTTACATAATCTTTCAGGGATATGTTGATTGGCAGGTGATTCGAAAAATAATCATAGCTTCATTTACCATATAGGTATGGAGGGAGATGAGGAAAGAAGGTGCACAAGCAGTTTGGCTGGTCCTCAGCCCCACACAGCTAAGTGGAAAGTTGAGCCAGTTGGTTCATGGTTCTTTAAATAATTAAAAGCGCCGAAAAAGACAAGGACAAAGAAGTGGAACGACACAAGGCGCAAAGTGGAAAGTTGAGCCAGTTGGTTCATGGTTCTTTAAATAATTAAAAGCGCCGAAAAAGACAAGGACAAAGAAGTGGAACGACACAAGGCGCCAAAGTGGAAAGTTGAGCCAGTTGGTTCGTGGTTCTTTAAATAATTAAAAGCGCCGAAAAAGACAAGGACAAAGAAGTGGAACGACACAAGGCGCAAAGTGGAAAGTTGAGCCAGTTGGTTCATGGTTCTTTAAATAATTAAAAGCGCCGAAAAAGACAAGGACAAAGAAGTGGAACGACACAAGGCGCCAAAGTGGAAAGTTGAGCCAGTTGGTTCATGGTTCTTTAAATAATTAAAAGCGCCGAAAAAGACAAGGACAAAGTAGTGGAACGACAGAAGGCGCAAAGTGGAAAGTTGAGCCAGTTGATTCATGGTTCTTTAAATAATTAAAAGCGCCGAAAAAGACAAGGACAAAGAAGTGGAACGACACAAGGCGCAAAGTGGAAAGTTGAGCCAGTTGGTCCATGGTTCTTTAAATAATTAAAAGCGCCAAAAAAGACAAGGACAAAGAAGTGGAACGACACAAGGCGCAAAGTGGAAAGTTGAGCCAGTTGGTTCATGGTTCTTTAAATAATTAAAAGCGCCGAAAAAGACAAGGACAAAGAAG